ACACTCACACACTCACTCACACACTCACACGTGAAGTGTCGAACGCCCGCGGGCAGGAGGTCACGGGGCAGACCCAGGTGCCACGGGTCGACTGACTGAGATGACTGAGATGAGTGGCTGATGCACCACCTGTGCCCCCTACTGTGCCAACCTGCTGTGCTTTAGCCACCCGGCGCTCCGCTCGTTGTTGTGAGCGTCGCTCCTCCGCCCTCCGTTGTTGTTGGAGGGGGACTACCTCCAACTGCCCAGTAGCATCCTTCACGATGCTACTGGGATCTTGACACCGCTGGTACCAGTCATCGGCAAGTCCACTCAGCTCCACGTCCTCCTGTACCACGTCACTCCGTCTCTTCTCTAGCCCGTGCCGCGCCCGTTTAGCCCCCTCGATCCGGCCGAACAAAAGCTGTTTTAGCATGCGGTGGCTGGGCATGCGGGCTACATGACCCACATACACTCACGCACACACTCACACACTCACTCACGCACACACACTCACGCACACACACTCACACACACACGCACACTCACTCACACCCACACACGCACACACACACTCACACACTCACTCACGCACACACACTCACGCACACACACTCACACCCACTCACGCACACTGACGCACACCCACTCACACCCACACACGCACACATACACTCACGCACACACCCACTCACGCACACCCACTCACACTCACGCACACCCACGCACACACACACACGCACACACACTCACACACACCCACACACACTCACGCACACCCACACACACTCACGCACACACACGCACACTCATGCCACACACGCACGCGCAAGCACGTGCACGCACACCCACACACACTTACACACATTCACGCACACCCACGCACACACGCACGCGCACGCACACCCACACACACTCACACTCACGCACAAACACCCACGCACGCGCACGCACGCGCACGCACACTCACGCACACACACGCACGTGCACGCACGCGCACGCACACCCACGCACACTCACGCGCGCACACTCACACACATTCACGCGCGCACATCCACACACACTCACGCACACCCACGCACACTCACGCACGCACGCACCCCCACGTACACTCACGCACACCCACGCACATTCACGCACGAACACCCACGCACACTCACAAACAGCCACGCACACTCACGCACGCACACTAACGCACACTCACGCACGCTCACGCACGCACACCCACGCACACCCACGCACGCACACGCACGCACACTCACGCACGCACACCCACGCACCCTCACGCACGCACACCCACGCACGCTCACGCACGCTCACGCACACGCACGCACACCCACGCAGACTCACGCACGCGCACTCACGCACGCACACCCACGCACGCTCACGCACGCACGCGCTCTCGAGCTAAGTAAAAAATAAACACGGCAATAAATGGAATGTGACAAACGAGGATTTGTTTGTCAGAACTCACGCGGAGCTGGGCGCGCATATAAATTGGCTGCTTAGCGCTGGGGAAAAGTTGCTGGGGGGGGGGGAGGGGCTGCCCCATCCCCCCCCCCAACAGCCCCGCCCCCCACTCCCTCCCCCACGCTCCTTGAGTGAAGGGAGACACTCACCCTGCAGTGCCCCCTCCACCCCCCATTCCACCCCCCCCACTTCCCCCCACTACCTCCTTGAGTGAAGGGAGACACTCACCCTCCCATGGCCCCCACCCCCCACCCCCCATGCCCCCCCTCCCCCGCCGTTGTACCCCCCCCCCCCCTTATAGATTTCCTGTAAGTCGCGACCTGGGGTTAAACGCATGCGTTTGTCCTCGGGGGTGCGGTGAGTGGGTGCCTGGGGGGGGGCTATTATTGTGCCTGAGTGTGAGTGTGTGTGTGTCTGCGTGCCTCAAATTAGCACCTGTTTTGCGCTGTGTAAACATCGCCACGGGGGAGACAAAGGCGGTCGGGCGTGGCGCTGGCCACCCACCCCCTCGTGTGCTACCGTGCCGGCCTTCATAGGCGCCGCTCGCTAACAGCACTTGCCCCTAGAGTCTGTTACAGGCTATACGGGGGTTCTTTATCTTTGTCTATGTGCGGGCACTTTAGGCCGGATACAAATTGCAATATGTAGGGGGGGGGGTTAAATAAATAAATAAGCACATGATTACAGAATGGCTGTAAGTATCAACATCGGTACTGACAATATTGATTCTCTTGCATCGCGCGATAACTTAAATTATACATGCATCCGGCAATAACGGCTCAGACGATCAGTCACTTTATGCAGATATCATCATCATCAGCAGCAGTTTGATCATGCTTGCCACGGCTAAATCATCGCCACGACGCTCAAATTTTTTTTTTATTTTCGCAATTGTATTCGAACCATGTAAGTGCTCCCAACTGATCTGCTCTTTTTTTTTTAATAAGAAGCGACACCTGGCTATCACAATTGATAGCTGCTCAACGACGTGAGAGGGCTTATCCTCATCATCATCATCATCAAGTGGACACTTACGTGTGGAGAGGGAGGGGGTTACATCGGAGTAAGCGGAGACAAATCCACTCGACCACGGGAGGAGAGAGAGAGAGAAAGAGAGACACGCAGACTCCAAATATATACAGCAGCAGGCATCAGGGTCGGGATCGAACCCACGACCTCCTGTACACCAGGCGAGGTAGTTAACATCTCCTAGCCACCGTGATGATGATGAGAGAGAGAGAGACACGCAGACTCCAAATATACAGCAGCAGGCGTCAGGGTCGGCATCGAACCCACGAACTCCTGTACACCATGCGAGGTAGTTAACATCTCGTAGCCACCGTGATGATGATGAGAGAGAGACACGCAAACTCCAAATATACAGCAGGCGTCAGGGTCGGGATCGAACACACGACCTCCTGTACACGAGGCGAGGTAGTTAACATCTCACCACCTAGATGATGATGAGAGAGAGACACGCAAACTCCAAATATACAGCAGGCGTCAGGGTCGGGATCGAACCCACGACCTCCTGTACACCAGGCGAGGTAGTTAACATCTCGCTACTGAACCAATACCACCTCCACCTGGGGCAAGGAATCTAACTGGGCCCCCTTCCAATGGGACATCAATGTTGTCCACAGAGCATCACCGCCAGCACCACCACAGACAAAGATCCCCCGTATAGCCTTCACGAACTGTTCGGGCAAGTGCTGTTAGCGAGCACCTATGAAGGCCGGAACAGCACACGAGGGGGTGGGTGGCCAGCACCACGCCCGGCCGCCTTTGTCTCCCCCAGTGGCGATGTTTGCACACCGCACCAGGTACTCATTTGAGGCTGAGTCGACCTAGGGGAGGCCCAGGACCGGTGCAGATAACCGTCACTGGGTGTTGGCCGTGAGCGGGAATCGAACTCGGGTCGCCGGGTTCGTAGCGCAGCGTAGCGCTAACCGCTACACCACCACTCCCCACCACCACCACTACCATCACCAACATTACCACCACCACCATCATCATCTGTACCGTCACCATCAACAACATCAGCACCCGTTTGCTACTAGTTGGTGGCGACGTCACCACGACGCTTGTGCCAGGCTAGGTACACACCTTGACGCCACACACACAGAACAACGCACCCCACCACCACCACCACCACAACGACCCCCACTACCACCACCACCACCACCACCACAACGACCCCCACCACCACCACCACCACAACGACCCCCACCACCACCACCACCACAACGACCCCCACCACCACCACAACGACCCCCACCACCACCACCACCAAAACGACCCCCACTACCACCACCACCACCACCAAAACGACCCCCACCACCACCACCACCACCACAACGACCCCCACTACCACCAAGGCTGTCCCCACCACCACCGCACCACGACAGCTCCCTACCACAACGTCACTCCACCATCACATCACCCCATCACCACCACCACCACTACCACAACACCACCACCACAACCACCACCACCACAACAACACACCCTACCACCACACCACCCCCGCCACAACACCACCACAACCACCCCCTTCCATCACTACAACACCACCAGAACCACACCTTACTACCACCACCATCATCGTCACCACAACACGACGACAATCACCCCCTTACCATCACCACAACCACCCCCTACCACCACCCGCTACCACCACAACACAATCACCCCCTTACCATCACCACACCACCAGCACCACAAGCACCCCTACCACCATCTCAACCACCCCCTACCACAACACAACCACAACCACCCCCTTACCATCACCACCACCACCACCACAACCACCACCACCACCCCTTACCACTACCTCCTACTACAACACCACCACCACCACCACCACAATCACCCTCTTACCACCACCACAACACAACCACAACCACCCTCTTACCACCACCACCACTACCACCACAACCACCCCTTACCACCACCACCAACACCACCATCCCCTACCCCTACCCCCTACCACCACATCCCCATCACACCACACCACCACCACACCACCACCCCCACAACCACCCTCTTACCACGACCAACACCACCACCACAACACCACCAACACCACCAACACCACCACCAACAACACCACCAACACCACCAACACCACCATAACCACCCTCTTACCACCACCACAACACCACCATAACCACCCTCTTACCACCACCACAACCACCCCTTACCACCAACACCACCATCCCCTACCCCTACCACCACACCCCCACCACACCACCACCACCACCACCCTCTTACCACCACCACCACCAACACCACCACAACATCACCACCACCACAACCATCCTCTTACCACCACAACACCACCACCACAACACCACCACCACCACAACACCACCACCACCACAACACCACCACCACCACCACCACCACAACACCACCAACACCACCAACACCACCATAACACCACCAACACCACCACAACACCACCACCACCCTCTTACCACCACCAACACCACCAACACCACCACCACCACCACAACAACCGAACCGAGACCCGAACCGCGCGCACTCACCGGCCACCTCGAGCGAGGCGTTCCGGCTCACGGCCTCCCCCAGGTAGTTGCGCGCCACGCACGCGTACGTCCCCTCGTCCGGCCGGTTGCCCCGACGGCCGTGCACCACGCGCAGGAAGAAGAGCGAACCGTCGGGCAGCAGCATGCGGTGCGAGTGTGGATCGTCGCGGTCGGTGTCCACGCGCTCGCCGTCCTTGTACCACTCGACGCTGGGAGGGGGACGCCCCTCCGCCTTGCAGTTGAGGGTCGCCGGCTCGCCCCGCGACACGATCAGGTCGGAGGGATGCTCGGCGATCCGAGGCGGGGAGTCCTCCTGGCGCAGGCGGGAGCCTGGTGGGGGGGTGGTGGTGGGGGGGGGGGTGGTGGTGGTGGGGGGGTGGGGGTGGTGGTGGTGGGGGGGTGGTGGTGGGGGGGAGCGAGATGGGACACGGGGGTGGTGGAGGTACGGTCAGTGTCGTTCATTCAGTCATTCGACAGAGTCCTCCTGGCGCAGGTGGGAGCCTGGTGGGGGGGTGGGGGTGGTGGGGGGGGTGGTGGTGGGGGGGTGGGGGGGGTGGTGGTGGTGGGGGGGGTGGTGGTGGGGGGGGGTTGTGGGGGGGGGAGCGAGATGGGACACGGGGGTGGTGGAGGTACGGTCAGTGTCGTTCATTCAGTCATTCGACAGAGTCCTCCTGGCGCAAGCCTTGGAGGTAGTGGGGGGTTGGGAGGAGTGGGGTGGGGGGGGTGGTGGGGGGTGCGGGGGTGGGGGGGTGGGAGGTAGTGGGGGGACCAGGGTGGTGAAGTATGGTCAGCGTCACTTTAATCGTTCGTTCATCAGGGTCCTCCTTGGGTGGTGGGTGAGGGTAGTGGGGTAGCTAGGCATGGGTCGCCGTGGTCAACGTGATCCAATTATCTTCAGTGTGAGTCCCCAGTAGCATCGCGGCTGAAGAGTTCCACTCGTATCGGATCAACTCCCATGCAGTTACCGTGAGCACCACGTTACACACGGATAGAGTGAGCTAACTCGTTAAACCCTGCCCATCAACGTGCTTTGGTTATCTCCATTATGAGGCCCCAGTAGGAACGCGACCTCACACTAATGATGCTTTCGTGACTGCAGGAATTAATCTTTGTTATTTTTTCGGTAAAGTCACGTAGAAATAAGAAAAATAAGAAAAAATAATTCTATTTTTATTTTTCTTATTTCGACGTGACTTCACCGAAAAAAACCCCCAAAGATTAGTTCCAATCGTATCGGATCAACTCTCTATATTTATTTTGCTATATATATCTAAAAAAATAAGATTTTTTTTCATAATAAATAGTAGTATTTTACGAGGTAAGATCTACTTAGTTGTGCAGTTCTCCACGCCTCCCATCACGGCATCCCGTGCGTCGCTGCAAAAACCCGACATTGTTACGATGCTGGATTTAAAAATAAAAATAAAAACTTGATTCGGATCTTTCGTCACTGCAGGAATTCATACTCTTTGGTTCTTTGGGTAAAGTCGGGTGGAAATAAGTAAATAAGTAAATACAATGATAGCTCGCGACGTTTCGTGGCGAGCTATCATTGTGTTGCAATTGAAACGTCGCGTGCTATTATTTCATTTATTATTTTCCCTTTCTAACATGACTTTACACAAATAAGCAACAAAGAGAGACGCTCTTATTCGTTACTTTCTCCCGTTTCATGTCGTCCCTGCTGCTGCTGCAACATCAAAGGGGACGTCCATAATTTATGGACGATAAATGACGTCACGCACCTGGGGGGGGGGGTCAGACATTTGTGACGATGTGTGACGAAGAGGGGGGGGGGGTGGGGGAGGGTGTTGAGAAATGTGACGTCACATCAAGATGCGCAACTTTTAAAATAAATATAGGCAACACGTATTTATTGGTTCTTTCGGTAAAGTCACCACGTAGGAGGGAAACAATTAAACAATAAATAATATTGTTTCCCTCCCCTCCTACGTGGTGGTGACTTTACCGAAAGAACAAAGAGTATGAATTCCTGCAGTCACGAAAGCATTAAATAAAAATTTATAGGCAACACGTTCTACTTAATTAAATTGACTTTTTAATAAATGTTTTCTCCCTACAACATCAGAGTGCAGCGCTACATTAAACACGCAACTACAATGTGACAATAGTTTAAAGCGATTTGAAGCATGTTTTATGTATTTTTTGGGGAGGGGGAGTGGGGGGGGGGAGGGCAAAGCTTTGTGACGTCATATTTGAGGGGGGGGGCGGTCTGATTTTTTGTGACGCCGTGTGACTAGAGGGGGGGGGGCAGGAGAGGAAAAAAAATTGTCCAAAATCGCGTGACGTCATTTATGGACGGCCCCAAAATCCGCAAAGGCGGCAGGGCATGGACGAGAACACCCAGTCAGGCTGAACGTCTTCTTTGGTTCTTTCGGTAAAGTCACCACGTAGAATGAGAATAAAATAATAAATTGATAAAATAAAATAACGCAATAATATTCTCACGACGTTTCGGCCACAACACAAGCGGCCTTCATCAGGTGAAGGGACGAGACTGTCTGCGCTCCAGCGCTGTCCTACCAGACAGTCTCGTCCCTTCACCTGATGAAGGCCGCTTGTGTTGTGGCCGAAACGTCGTGAGAATATTATTGTGTTATTTTATTTTATCAATTTATTATTTTATTCTCAATCTACGTGGTTACTTTACCGAAAGAACCAAAGAAGATGAATCATTGCAGTCACGAAAGCTTTAAATCGAAATTCAGGCTGAACGTCTTCGTTCGCGCTGTAAATATGTAGAGACCTTCCCTTTGTGTGGGGTGGAGTGATGGTTTTTAAATGAGCGTGGGTTAAATTTTGATTTAAAGCTTTCGTGACTGCAGGGATTCATATTCTTGGTTCTTTCGGTAAAGTCACCACTACGTAGAAGGGTAACAATAAAATAATATTCTTAGCTCTTTGGGTAAAGTCACGTTGAAGGGAAACAATAAAATAATAAAATATATATGAAACAATAAAAATTCTCACGACGTTTCGACTGCAACCACAAGCAATCATCATCAGGTGTGAAAACCACAGCAAGGAAATTTGAAAAAAGGTGGCGGCTTTTTTTAATAACTGCCAAATCGCTCTCCGTGGTGCTAACGTTAAAAAGAAAACGCGACTTTTTTCAAATTTTCTTGCTGTGGTTTTCACACCTGATGATGATTGCTTCTTGTGGTTGCAGTCGAAACGTCGTGAGAATTTTATTGTTCTATATTTTTATTATATTATTGTTTCCCTTCAACGTGACTTTACCGAAAGAGCTAAGAATATGAATTACTGCAGTCACGAAAGCTTTAAATCAAAATAAAAAAATAATAAAAATATAAAACAATACAATTCTCACGACGTTTCGACTGCAACACAAGCAGCAATCATCATCAGGTGTGAAAACCACAGCAAGCAAAGAAAAAAAAGACGCCACTTTTTTTCAAGTATTCTTGCTGTGGTTTTCACACCTGATGATGATTGCTTCTTGTGTTGCAGTCGAAACGTCGTGAGAATTGTATTGTTTTATATTATTTTATTATTTTATTGTTTCCCTTCTACGTGGCGACTTTACCGATAAAAACAAGAATATGAGCGTGGGTTGTTTATTTTTAGGGGTGTTTCTTGCATTATCACCCGACCCGCCAGGCGCCAACAGCATTCCTGCAATTATTATTGTCATTGCAACCACGTGCTGCTCTTCAGAATAATTAATATTGTATTCGTACTGCCGGAGGAGGAGTAGAAGGAATCTGATGAGCTATCAAGCTTTTTGTATTCACAAGGTGTCCGCTAAGGGGGCACGTGGCCAGATCGTTACAATGAATGACGCAAAACAGAACACGTTAGGAGCGCAAAGTCCAGGAAATGTAAACACTTCACTTTTAACACGTAGGCATTACACAAAATTCAAAAACTAGTATCTTGCACTAAAGACGCATTACCTAAATTATCAACAGAAGGTGTATATATCGGAATAATTGTTTATGTGGCAGATGCTGTATTGGACAGACGGGATGTAACATCAGCGTAAGACTAAAAGAACATCAAAGAAATATTAAATTATCTCAAACACAACTGTCGGCAGTGGCAGAACATGCTTGTCAATAAGGACACTCAATTGATTTTGATAACGTTGAAGTGTTGTGTAAAACTAATTATTACTCTCAAAGACTAATTAGAGAATCCATTGAAATTGAGAGGAATAAAAATAACTTTAATCGCTCTGACAGCTACAGGCTTAGTGGGGCCTGGAAGCGTATTATTAAATAATACACATTACAATTCCTTATAGGGGAAACACATACTAATTAACGGATTACTAACATAGCATATAATCACTAACACACATTACAACTAATTGCTAATCTACAACTCATTACTAATCATAACCATTGACTGATTACTAATCGATTATATAATTACAATACCCCCCCTCTCGACTCAAATCACTGCACCTGATATGAGTTAAGTGATGACGTCACCATGCTGCTCTATTTAAGACCGAGAGCAAGTGGAGAGGGCTTTACCATTCTGGCGAATTGCCCGATGATGCTGGATGTAATTACCAGCGGAACGTCGTACTCAAACTGTAAATGTTGTGGATTCACTCTTCAACACACCGGTGGGCTAAAGTAGTGAATTATTTGTCTTTTGTCAACGTGACACTTTTTTTTGCTGATTGGCCGTGTCGGGTGGTGGAGGGTTACGACACATTTATAAATAACGCGATCTAACCCAAACACCTTTATTGTGGACTTCACTTTTACAAATTCACGTGCGAATACAACTAGACCATTGAGCTATGAACGTTATTTTCTAGAAGCGAGCTGCCAATCACAAATGACACATTTATAAAGGTCCGTTAAAGACCGCTGGTTGTTTACCTGGGGTGCACGCCACCCCTGGGGGTACACTACACTATACACTACACTATAGACCACTATACACTGCTATACACTACAAGATACACTACTGCACACCATACTTTAAAATACTGTACACTACACTATACACTACAATATACACTACGACACACCACAATTTAAAATACTATACAATACACTATACACTACACTATAGACTACGACACACCACACTTAAAAATACTATACAATACACTATACACTACACTATACACTACTACACACCACACTCTAAAATACTTTACAATACACCATACACTACTACACACCACACTTTAAAATACGATACACTACACTATACACTACACTATAGACCACTATACACTACTATACACTACACTATACACGACAGTATACATCACAATACACTACTATACACTACACTATACACTACACTATACACTACACTAT